ATCCCAGGCCCTGCAGATGATCTCAATAAAGATCGAAACGTTGGCACGATAATGAAAATGTTTTTCTGAAACCTACATCCCACCAGATCGCATCTCACGATTTCCGAACAATCATCGACTAACGGTTACTAATCACCACACATTTATAAGAAAACAGGTTCAAGCTTACTAAAACCTTAGTTTCAAGCTGGTGCGTGTTTCAACTGCAAAAACCCCCGAATTTAAATCATGCAGCGATGCTAGGAGGATGCTTAAGGAGCTCGAGTTTATGCATGCTTGAAAAATGCTTAAATCAAAATATATCCGAGTTTAAATCATTGTACAAATAGGTTTCAACTTAAGAAAAATCATGTTTGGAACTGGACATACGTTTAAACGAGAGAAAGCCAGAGTTTCAAGTTACAAGTATTTTTACTAATTAAGTTTCATGTATGCTAGAAATGAGTTTGAACTATATTAAACTCTAGTTTAAAACTTGCTAAAAACAAGTAAATTTTACTTTTAGAAAAAATGTTTATTTAGAAATCGTGAGATGCGATCTGGTGTGATGTAGGTTTCAGAAAAACATTTTTTCAGAGATCTTCTTCAAGGCTCAATAAAGATCGAAACGTTGGCACGATAATGAAAATGTTTTTCTGAAACCTACATCACACCAGACCGCATCTCACGATTTCCGAACAATCATCGACTAACGGTCACTAATCACCACACATTTATAAATTATGTTCCGGAAATTCTTAACAATTAAATATTTTGGGAAATAAATGCCTAGCGTTGTAACCAGGAGCATTTTTATTATTAACGGTCATTCGGGATTAAAAGACATTTTTACACGTACATTTAAGCAATTTTTCTACAATATTTATAATATCCATTATAATAATATCCTGCATGAATTTGAAAGTCCAAGGGACTTTTTCAACGGGTCGATTTTTCGTTTTTCCCTTCTTTTTTTTTCTGAAGCCGAGATTAAATAGCAATCGGGCTAGCCGGGCGTAATCGACCGGGGAAACAATAGCACCGATAGCCCAGGGTTTGCCGAGGTCCTTTAATTAGCGACAGAATGAGAAATTCATCGTCATGGCTATAATGTTAACTAGACTATAGAAAACAAGGTGGCTCATGTGCTCGATTAGCATTCGACATCACGCTAGGAGGCGAATTGTTATTTTTACTGCCAGCCCTCGGCCGGAAAAAGGCGTAAAATAATAAAATATTTCCAACGTGTTGTTATTAATAATATAATCGGACGATTAACCGGCCCAACGGCAGTTGGCGAATGAGAGAACAACAAATCCTTCAGCACCTACAAGCCTGTGTAATAAATTAATAATAAAAAAAATCCTCATCATTTAGCTTAAAATCTCTCCTAAAATGATAAAACGGTAAGATAATATATTGAAATAGTAGGTAAGATAAATTGAACAATTTTTTTTCTTCAATATTCTCAGAATTTAGTACTTGACCAAATTTTTTATTGCACGGTGTCATTTAATACAGCCTAAATTATTAATTTATATTTGAGACTATTTTGGTCACTCAGAAACTTTTCGCCTTTTCAACATCTACAGAGGCTCTTTTTTTTCTTTTTATATATAATTATATACAACGATTAATTGGAGATCGTGAGGTGCGGTCAGGTGGGACGTAGGTTTTAAAAAACGTGATATTTTTCATGCCAACGTTTCGATCTTTATTGAGATCATCTTCAGGGCTCAAAGTGTTTGTTTTCCGTGTAGATGTGTTATTCTTGTGTGTCGTGTTGAGAGTTCGCTTTGCACACCAGACTGCACTTCATGACCTCCAACACCACACATTATATACAATAGCGCCTCTGAAGATGTTGAGACATCGGAACGCGCCTGACCCGAGATTAGGCAGGCCGAAATGATCGGGAAGGGCTAAACTACAATTTCGTCTTCCGGTAGACGACAAGAGGACATCTCACAACAACTTAATAATTAATTTTCACCTTTTTGAAGAAGAAAACAGATCATTTTAAAGTAGACACATAGTACTTTAAGTAAAATTAAACTTAAGCTGCTGATTGGGCAAAATGAATAATTTTGGGGCTCAAAACGTAATAGATCTTCGTAACCAAGAGGACCCACGAATCATACAAATAATATTTGGAAATGTTACTATTAGCTGATTGAACTATTTTCAAAGTTCTGCTTAAAGTATTACCATTAGTTTAATATTCGTGATTTCGGTATGGCCTGTATGAAAAAAATAAATTTGTTTATCTGCCAAGCTTTCGGCCTTGTGTAAAGTCATCATCAGAACAAAACTATCTTAAAGACGTCTACAAATTGACATAATTAAGTTTTTAATGAATGATTAATGAAGACATCTGAAGATTGTTTTGCCCTGATGACCTTAAAATGGGTCGAAAGCTTGGCAGATAATTGAATTTTTCAATCAGACCTAGATCCAGTACATTATCGTATTCTGTATCAAAAGTTCTGTTTGAACCGAGGACATTTTAAAGAGGGGGCCAGGTTGACAGATTGGCCGGCGGGAGGCCGCGGAAAAAAGTGTAGCCTCTGTCTTCCCTTTGTTTGATAACGTCTTCTTCAGTGTGATTTAGGGGAACGGAACGGCCCTAATGGGGGCGCCTCAGATCTTTTTCAACGGACATACTCAATTTCTTCTCCCCGGGCCACTCGAGAAGAAAGGGGAAGAGGCTGTTAAAACAGGCTTGTTTATTTTGCCCGTAACCCCTCGTAAATCTCGATTTTGTTCAAACAAATATTAAATTTTATTATTTGATTGAAAGTAGGAAAATTCGAGTGAATATAATTTTTTAAACAATTTGTTCAAATCCGGCGGAGATCGTTAAGATTGATCCATGATTGATGTGGAAAATTTGTGGTTTCGGCCTGTTCAAAAAGGATTATTAGACAAAAACAAACAGATCACTGAAGATGCATAAAAGCATCTGACAAAAAACAGCAAAAATAAGCTGATCAGAAACGACTTAAGCAAAAGATTTAACATGGCTCGATATCATACAAACAGGGATGAAAAAAACCATGTCTTAAAGACACATAAATGAAACATCTACTGAAATTAAGTTTAAAGATATTTTTGCCAAAAAAATTAGGAATTATGTAAGTTGAGAATTTGAGGCAATTCTGCACTCACGAGTTACTGGATTGGTCAAATTTTAGCAAAATGAGTGCATATTCCAGTGTCCTTAGTCCTGACAGTCTGCATAATTGATAATGTCCATAAGGACACCTTCCCATAAGACAGGAGAATAAACCTAGTTACTACAAAACTGAAATTTCTAACGGTCTAAACTTCAAAGTAGCAATTTTGGAAAGCTGTGTTTTTGACCTATCCATTTTTGCCCCCAGGACGGTTAGGCATTCGATGAATATTTATATGATGAATATTTTACCATAATGACATTTCATATACGTATGGGGTTTTGTGGGTTGCTACCTGAGAAATTACCAAACTCGAACGGTAATTTATTTTGAAAATATTCACTATACCGTCTCAAAGGATTTTTCTTAAAAACCAAAGACAGAGAATCAAAAATTTAGTAAAATATTATAGTAAAGACAGCCTAAAGTTTGTATTAGTGTGACAACCTTAACATTGCACGTAAAGACGTCTGAGGAACAAGATTTTTCTTAATTTTTGTATATCGGGTTAGTGTATTTTCTAAATAAATTTTAAGGGCGGGACTATTCCGAATCAAAGGGTTCAGCTTGTTTAGAAAAACAGAAAAAATTCTCATGACGAAATATTTTGTTTTCGAACATCATCGAAGCGTACGAACGTGGAAATTAACCTATTACAAATACATTTCAATCAAGTTTACAAGTTTTAAGAATCGTCGAGTCTGTACAATTTCAAACAGCACGTGGGCCCAAAAGGCTAGAAAACACCCCCTGGAAGGTTGGCCGGTCAGCTGATCGCTCACATGGCACCGATGTGTTGTCAATTCCATTCCACCGAAAATTTTGCTTCGTCAACAACGATTAAAATGAACATTCAAATTTTTTATAAATTGGTATAAAATTCAAGCGTGTTCATAGATTTCAAAGATCTCGGGCCGAAGACACGGATTTTTCTTTTACAGATGGAACACATGGAATTTCACGGATCGACGTCATAAAGTCGTTTTCATTTTACGACATTGTCATAAGACATGATTTCAATAATTAAATAACACGATTCCGGGTTACATTAACATGAAAAGCACGGTCATTATTAAAATATTTCTATCATATTAGGTTTTCGTTCAAACACAATTTCTTTGGTGCGAGTCAAGAGCGATTTTAACAAACCAAAAACACAGTAAACATATGATTTTTTATGATCCGAAGCCGGTTACTTTCCGCCTTTTCAAAATTACCGTTTATCGGCTGATGCAAGTGTTATTTTACGTTTGAGAAATTCAAGAATGAACAATAGTTCAACGTAGTTTTACACTATTACAAAATTTTGTCGACGGCGCGTATTTTTGTTGAAAGATTGCGTTTATCGAATTGACAAGTCGTTTAATTTGTTCTGTTCTGTCTTACTTGCACATATTTTTTCTGTAGAAATGATAAAGGTGAGGAGTGTATGTTGTTCAATTGTTCATTTGCTTTAAAAGATTGTCCTTACACTCAGTTTTTTTTCTACGATTTTGATTTCAAGCATTAAACGCTCATCATCAGTTTGAAGGAGTTTGAAACACGTCTCTCGATTTGAATTACAACAGTCAAAAGTACTCTTACAATTCATGTCGGGAAATGTGTTTGTAACTCCTTCAAACTGATGATGATCGTTTTAATGCTTGAAATCAGGTAATTTGGAAACAACAAACTATTAGTAAGAACTATCTTTTAAAGTAGTTAATTTTTCTGTTGTAATGGATGTTATTTTGTGTTGTTGTTTTTTTACTTGGTGTAGGTTTATTTTTTCAGATGTGTGAAAGGATGTTGGGAAAACGATGATGAGTTCTGTTAATTAATAGTTGATTAAAACTGAAAAAATACCTGGTTATTAGGCGAAAGTGGCGGAGGGAAGTGTGCCATAGCGTGACGAAGCGGGATCACTGGTATAGTTCCACATGATACATTGTCTCTCGACACAAGACACAATATACACAGGCACTGAGATCGGAGAGAAGCTCCTTCGCGTCAAAAATCACACCGACTGCAGGTGTGGGCTCCAGCGAAAAAAGTGATTTTTCCTAGAGCTGGTGCTCGTGGAGTGGCCCCCCACCAGAGAGGGGCCCCCACCTCGCCCGCCCCCCACTTCGTCCAAAAAGGCGGACGAGGGTGTTTCGGGGTGGCCCCCACCGCTTTTTTCCCCTCTCCGGGACAGGGGCTTCTTTTTAGTCGGGGCCTGCGTGAGACGGCCCCCCGCCCCGCCCCCGGGCCAATCCGCGTCGTAGAAAGTGGCAGATCAATGGCACCCCCTCGGCCCCCGGCCACCCCCCGCCGTCTCCCACCCCCAGGACAAATTACAAGACCCCGAGACACAGTTGACACCCTGTCCCGAAGCCTGTTAACACAAACCCGGGACATGGCCCGCACACGCAGGCACGCAGACGGCCCGACACGCACTCACACAGAGACACACTCGCCCTGCACTACTCCACTACCCCGCTCCCTTACTTCTCCCCATCCCCCTTTTGTTTTACACCCCCTTTCCCGTCTCTGCCCGCACTATACATATTATTATCAATTACTACACCCCTGAACACGAATTAAGATTATCATACTAAATAGAATAAATTTCAAATCGCTCCACCTTAAACCCATTCCTACTATAAAGGAAATCATCTATCTGTATACAATCTTTCATAACAACATGAAAAATATAAATAAATTCACTAAAAAATTAGCCAGATTTTCTTCAAACTCAAAATCCATAAAACATTTCTAACAATCTCTCATGGAAAGACTATTCCAAACTCTAGCATCATTTAGACTACTCTTCCGTTGTTAACCCTCCTCTCACCTGGTGACCAATGTGAACACATTTCGCCAGATGGGGTGCAGCACACCTCAGTTATAGGAAGTATTCACGATTCTTGCATTAACCCAAGAAACTCTCTCCTGTTATACAGAAAAAATTATAGCGTAAGTTTATTACCACCAACTTAACATTGTTCAATACAAAGGAGTGCGAGACTCCTTACCATAAAGCATCATTACCATAACCGTTAGGGCTGAAGTTACAAATGCATTTGGCATGGAAAATTTTGTTATTATAGTTTTTTCCACAGTGCTCTCTCGCTTTCATAGTAGGGGATAGGATCTTCATCATCTAACTTGTGTTTTCGATCCATTCTGTATCCTATGCAGTAAGAAATTTTCATTACTTAATTCACGTTTTTTCTCCCCCGTTCAGTTATTTTTCTTTAAGTAAGTAGAACAGCGAAAACTATATGCAGCACAATATTGCCCAACCGCGTAGCATTCAGCGAGCTCTTCTCTAAATTTATCGTAAAATCCGACTGAATTTTGCCAGTTTGAAAAAATACTCTTCCTTCACAAATGAGAACGAAACCTTTATCAAAAATCACGTATTCTTTGGGAGTGTCATATCTTATCAACAGTTTTTGGTCGTATCAGAATTAGGAAAACATGTTCATAATATTCCTGACCATTTTGGGCCTGAATTAATTAACAAGCTTTAGCATATAATTCAAATCTCAACCCGAATTGATAGGAGATTGTTAATGTTTCTTTTCCGTTAAACAGATTTTTTTTATATTTTACATAAGATTTGCTTTTATTTATATATTGTTATATATTATTCATACATATATTTATATATATTACTTATCATTCGTAATTATTGAAATTGCATGCTGCATAATAATTGATTTTATATATCTTTACTTCATTATTTGACTTTTCTTTAATACTTCTCTTCAATTTACTATTTTTTTTACTTTATTCTTTTTTTAACAAGTCTTTTCCTTTATTTTACTTTTTTTGTTTCTTTATAGTTTTTACTTATTTTTCTTTCCTTTACTATTTTCTTTTAATTTTCTATTTTTCTTTACTTAACTATTTTCTTTGCTTTATTAGTCAATTAATTATACACAGTTTTTTCGAAATGAAAAATTTGTGTCACGGGCGGGATTCGAACCCACGACTTTCGGCTAAATACGCCGCTTCTATACCACTTGAGCTATCGTGACTTCGATCGCCCATGCCACAACTTCCATTTCGACTCCCCGTTTTATTCCAATTTATTATGTTTATTAATTTTCTTTATTTTAATTTTTTTACATAATTTTTCTCTACTTTACTATTTTTCTTTGCTATATTATTTTTATTAATTTTCTTTACTTTACTATTTCATTTTCAAACTTTTCATTTTTTCATATTATTCTTTACTTGAAAGCGTTATATAATATTTAAGTCATTTCCAATGGACGGACTGATTTTCTGCTCATTATCTGTACGTTGATAACTGCCGCCAGAAGTTTATCAGCGCTGATTTCACAGTCACACCGCAATTAATTATATTATTTATATTCATCGTACAACTAGCAAGGGCGGAAGCGCTTCTTTTTTATATTTAAACCACCTTGAGAGTAAAATCCCCTTGTTTATTAAATAGTTTACATTTATCTTTGGTGTTTTTGCATTTTTCTTTTGTTCGGTTTTAAGATATTTAGATGTGTGAGTATATGCTAGTAAAGATTAACGATTAATGGCTAGGGATTCAGGACAAAACAATACAACGTTTCACAAGGACGAGTTCTTGGTCCCATACTTTGCATTAGAATACTGATAGCTTCTTACATATCCAAACATCATCAATACCTACACAGATAGTTCTTTCTTCTAGTCTGAAATCTCTAACATCCAAGGAAAACATAAGTGGATGAAAGAAAGCTGCCAAAATTGTACGATAAGACTGAATGAGGAAATTACGCACAATGTAGATACTTGCCATCCGCTGAACATCAACCTTTCGATTTCCACTCTAGTCAGATATTATGGACTATACCTAGACAGAAGACTGACGTGGCATCCCATACAAGACTTAAAGAGAACGACTTAATAGAAGACATGAAACAACCACTAGTCTTTTAGAACGGAAATCGGTTTTAAATGTCCAAACACAACTTTAAAACAAGGCATTATCACGCTTTGGACATATAGACCTTACGCGCAGGTAGAGGTCAGTCTTCCTTATTACCAACGGCCTGAACATTCCTTTTTTTCAACTGATCCAATCTCGCCTCCAAAAGTTCATACAAACTCTCGATCCGTTCTATCTTTTTAGTCTAAACCTTCTCTGTAATACTTTGGAGGCACCACTATACGAGTGGACCGGAATTAATTAAAACTTTGGCTCAGAACAAGAGTTTAAACTTAAACGTCAGACCCTATCTGGTTAAAACTCGAGAAAGTGACGGGTTTCTTTCTTTGTATCTAAATAATCACAATTTTAATACGTTAACAAGATGATTATATGATTTACCAGCACATATCAACTTGAATTGTGGTACTACCAAGCAATCTACCCAATACCGAATGTAAACATTTCAGCCCAAAGCCGGTGATCCTTTCTACTTCTCAAACCAACCAATTCATGAAACTTTGAGGCATTTACAAGACCAAGGTTAGGATGACGTCCATCATAGACCTGCACCATTGGGTTACCAAACAATCTAGCCTAATCAGAATTCTCAAATCACCAACGATCTTTACTACACTAATCGACCACGGTACTGAAGACATTTTGATCGTTTTTAATTTCCATCTGGACATATGGACTTGGACTCCTAGGTACCACCGAACATTCTAAAAGAAACTACTAAACTTTGGTCCAAAATAGGGGTATAAACCTAAGCGTAGTTACAGGATCAACGAAACTTTTTATTTATTTAATCGACCGATACAAAACTTCATAAAAATTGCAAGACCCATCAGGACACTTGATCCCTGAGGGTTACCGATATGCGGGGTGGAACATTCAACAATATTCCTTTTGTCGACAAACTTATCCCATCCCGCTTCCAAAAGTTAATCACCAAGGTTTCGAATCAATCCTAATCCTACTGCCAAATGAGAATCTGCCTTGTCTTAAAAGACGATGGCCCGAGACCTCGAGACTTTATCGTATTGAGTACCAGCGTTTCTCATATTTTATTTGGCAACTTTTTCTCATGAAAAATATTATTTATTTATTATTGAATAAGAGTACCCAACATGAAGGAAAATACCTCCAATTAGAGGAGGTAGAAGAAGTCAATAAGCCTTCTTTGGGCTTCGTTTAGGGTGAGAAATGTCCAAGGTTGACCTTTGACCAATTTTACCAAAACTTTACCAAGGTCGGTGGTTGAAAATAATTTGTTATAAATAATTAAGGTTTTTAGTTGAGATAAAAAAGTCAATGGCACGAGCGGGATTCGAACCCATGATCTTCGGCTAGATACGCCGCTGCTCTACCACCTGAGCTATCGTGACCTCGATCCACTCGGACACTAACTTTCCATCTCAACCCCACCTTTTGAATTTTCCCTCCTTTTTGCCATTTTTCAATTAATTGTGATGTATTAATTGGTCAAGCGGACCACGAAATTAGTGAATTTGTTATAAAGTTGTTATTTTTTTTTTTCATTTTTTCCCCTGCGAAGTGCAAGTGAAATCACTTTATTGCGATGCTTAACATGAAAAGGAGTTCTTTTCCATCACAAGTAAGCATTTTAGGACTGGGAAAGAAGAAAATCTATTTTGATGAGATTGAACAAATCTTCGATAAAAATTTCTTTGCCATTTCGTAGATCAAAATAGTAGAATTTTATGGATGTATTAATTTATTAGGAGAAGTTAAAATTTGACAAATTTACGTAAACATTGTCGCATATATCGTCGAAATTCCACCGATAGCGGTAGTTCAAAGAGAGAAGAAAAAGAAAAAAAAGAGATTTGTCCCTGGTGTAAACCGCTTAATAAAAAAAGAGGAAAAAAGAAGCCAAGGGAAAAAGATACAAATTCAATTCACACAAACCTCTCTCACTCCCCCGTCGCGGAGCGAGAGCCGCCGTAAAGTAAGGATCCCGAGCGCTCTGGAATAACCGAATGAAAAGGCTTTCCCACCGAGGAAAAGGTTGAAAATTTGTCTCCCCCGACGGATAATTGTTTGGGTCGGTAGGGATGAAAAGGGGTGGACGGGGGTGCGCGAGGGGACACTCGAAGATGGTATTGATTCCCCCCTCTCTCTCACTCAAGATTGCCTTTGTCAC